TCTAGAGGCGTATGTTTTCTTTTTCCTTTTTCCTTTATCTGAAGCAACTGCACTGTGGAAGAGACACAAACACCCCTCTCCCGGTTAGCGCCTCTGCTGTGAGCTTTGAAACGCAGCTGGTGCTGTTCTGTTTCCCCCCCATCTTCCTGCCGTCTGAGTAGTCTCCCAGCCAGGCTGAACAGGGGGGGAGTTCGGTGACACCGAGTAACCTCAGCCACATCTGGTCGCGTCCCTGCCAGTTCTCCAGGAGCGACTGGCTGTGTGTTCAGACTTCAGCTTCAAACACCAGAGCTCGTTTTTCTGTCCTAAAAAGCTGAGACACTTTTAGGTATGTGTATAGGTTTGCTGGTGCTGTGCAAGAAGGGTATTGAGGGATGAGGTATTGTCACCCGGCTGGTGGCACCGTGGATTATTCCTTCAGCCTGGGTTTTTTTTTCCTGTTTTTTATTTTATTTTATTTTATTTTTGCCTTTTTGAGACAGGGTCTCGCTATGCAGTTCTGGCTGGCCTTGAGCTCACTTTGTAGGGCAGGCTGGTCTCAAACCCACAACGATCCTCCTGCCTCAGCCTCTCGAGTGCTGGGATCACAGGTGTCAGTACTACTATGGCCAGCTGAACTAGATACTGTTTATTCTGTGGCAGAATTCCTTTAATTTTTTATTTCTGATTTTGTTGTGTTCCTGTTGAGTTCGTTATTATTAACATTTGGAAACATTTCCTTCCGGGGAGTCAGGATCTCCCTCAGTCTCCAACAGCTAAACGTACCATCCCTCTGACCTCTGTTCCTCGTGTCTCCCCGCAGCCGTATGTATCATTGTCGCAGCAGATGGCACCGCCCAGTCCAAGCAACGGCACCCCCAACAGCAGCAGTGGGGGCGGTGGGAACGACCAGCTGAGCAAAACCAACCTGTACATCCGGGGACTGCAGCCGGGCACGACCGACCAGGACCTTGTGAAGCTGTGTCAGCCGTAAGTTGGTCGATGTGCGTGACGTCGGGGGCGGGGCGGGCCTCTTGCCAGAGACGCGTTGTGCTGCTGTGTAATAGTGTGGTGCTGGGGCTGGGATTTAGCTCAGCGGCACAGCGCCTGCCTGGCAAGCGCAAGGTCGTGAGTTCAATTCCTGGTACCGGAAAAAAACAAACAAACAAACAAAAATAGTGTGCTGCTTCTGCCCCATAGTTGCTGAGTGTCTCAGCATCCACTCTTTTAAAAATCTTTCTTCCCGCCACTGATTAGTGAAACCTTTATGTGTCTGTCTGAGGGAAGGCTGGCCTTTGAAGCCCAGTTTCTGACTGTGAAGTTTAGCCTCTCCTGGGAACTGAGAGCTTTAATGGAAAGAGTGCCGTCCTTAGAAGGGCTCCGGGTCTCCGTAGATGGGATCAGAGGCGGTGGGCACTGGCGGGCAGGACAGAAGATGAGAGAAGCCAACGGAGTGGTGCGCTGGGAGAGTTGCTGCTGCTGCTGGTGATAACGCCCGATGGATCAGAGGACTCTGTGTGTTAGTGAAGGAAGACGTGGGCCTGGTGTGGTGGCGCATGCCTGTAATCCCAGTACTCTGGAGGCTGAGGCAGGAGGATCCCTGCAAGTTCCAAGCCAGCATGAAGAACACAATGAGTTCAAGACCAGCCTAAACTACATAAGCAAGACCTTGTCTCAAAAAAAAAAAAAAAAAAAGGTGGAGGTGAAGAAAGAGCCCATCACACAGCATCAAACCCACAAAGATGCTCTTGAGTCCCGAGGTGCAGGGTGCGAGGAGTGACCCCAGCGAAGACTGCTGGGAAAGCAGAATGGAGATGTCTGGCTCGATTTCCTTTGGCAGAAAAGCGTGCATTTCAGATAGTACGTTTGGGAGAATGATTGGAGAGGCTGAGGGTGGGACGAGGAGATTAATGGGGAAAAGGAAAGAGTTAAATGTGGTAAGGGGATGGCGGAAAGAGGAGGAGGAAGAATTGGGTACTTTGATAACTCTTGTTGAAGTATAACCAGAATGCAGAAAAGTGGACAAGCGTATAAGCAGCACAGTGAATTTCCACAAAGGAACAGAGCCTTGGAACAGACACTTACATCCCTTTTTTCTTTTTTTTTGTCTTTCTGAGGCAGGGTCTCGCTATGCAGTTCAGGCTGGCCTTGAGCTCACTTTGTAGCCCAGGCTGGTCTTGAACTCGAAACGATCCTCCTGCCTCAGCCTCCCGAGTGCTGGGATTACAGGCGTGTGCCACCACACCCGGCTCTTTTTTTTTTTTTTTTGAGACAGGGTCTCACTAAATTGCTATTATAGCTTGTGTCTAGATGTCCCCCAAACATCCCATGTGGTCATAGGTGGGGATTTTCAGGGTGGCTGGATCTAGAGTGTGTGAAGCTGGGACCAAGAGTCTGTGACTACTGGATGTCCACTGACTGGTTTGCCGTAGTTCTGAGGGTAAAGAGTGGGACAGCCGTCCCTGGGCTCGAGGGAGAGCAGCCTGGATAGAAGAGACAGGAAGAGGGCTGCCGTGCTGCTTGCTGCTTGCCGCTTGACTGCTGGCTGCCTTCTGCCTGCCCTGCTCTGCCATGCACGGTTTCTCCCTGTGGGGCCCTCTCCCACGCCACCCTGCCTTGGAGGCGGCTGACCATGGGCTGAAATCTCTGCACACTGTGAACCGAAATAAGCTCTTCCTCCTGTAACTTTGGGCATCGAGTATTTTGTCTCAGCAACAAGAAAGGTAACCAAGACAATTGCCCAGGCTGAGCTTGAACTTGCTGTCTTCCTGCCTCAGCCTCCCAGAATACTGGGATGACAGGCGTGCACCAGCATGCCCATTTGCACATACCCTTCTACATGTGGCTTCTCTGTTGTCTGTCTTTCTAAAAAAAAAAATCTGGCTTCTTTTGCTAAATAATGTTTTTGAGATTGATTCACGTTGTTGCATGCAGCAAAAACTTTGTTCTTAGTTGCTTCATAAATTTCCATCATAGAAATGTAGCAGTTACTCATTCTGCTTTTCCTGGACATGAGTTGTGTCCAGTTTGAGACTTTTATGAACGAATATAAATAATGTGCTATGAACGTACACCTGTCTTCTATTACTGGGTGACAGGCTATACATGTGCCCAGCTTTGGTAGATATTACTAAATAATTGTCTGAAGTGATTAATTCAAATTCCCAAGGCAAGTTGTGTAACTTCTAGCTGCTTCAAATCAAAAGAAAATGTAGTCACTTGATGCTTTTGAGGTGCTCTATACACCCCTCTCTCTGAGGTAGTGACTTGGTCCTTGCAGATCACAGGGGCTTCTGCTGACACAGGCCACAGATTCCGTCTCTGAAAGCTGGGTGTGAACACCAAACTGGCCCCTGCTGTACACCTTCCCTGCTAGGAAGGATGTAAGTGAAACGTAGAACACTACAACTATCGCTGTGTTGGGAGCTGGGGATAGAAGTGTTGGTTCATGGGGGAAAAGAGAATCATATCCATCTAGGTCCGTTGTTTCTACACTTTCGTTCTTGTACTAAACCAGAATGTGTTTTTAAAAAAATCCTGTCACGCTGGCTGTGGTGGCGCACCCCTGTAATCCCAGCACTCAGGAGGCTGAGGCAGGAGAACTGCTGTGAGTTCCAGGCCAGCCTGGACTACATAGCGAGACCCTGTTTTAAAAAAAAAAAATCCTATCACAGGATAAGATAGAGAAGAAACTCAGTTTGACTTCATTATGCTTTTAGACTTTGGCCTGGAACTTCTGAACAGTGCCTGGCGGGGTGGAATCCTCAGGGTTAGGCTGTGGGTGGGACAAGGGCCCCGCGAGGGCGGCGCGGAGGAGCAGTGAGGCGGTGGGCGGGGCCTGTGTAGGAAGGGCGTCTCTGCGGTGTCGAAGGACTTCCTGCCTTTGTCTCTGTGGTCCTTTCCTGGGTTGTCGGGGAAGTAAACGTAGCTGGATCCTGAACTCTGGTGGGCCGGAAGGAGGGGCGTGGTCTGGGACTGGAACTCCGGGTTCTCTCGGAGGGGCCCCTGCTTCCAAGGAGGAAGCAGCAGTCACCCAGCTGTTGCCAGCTGCAGTGGAAATTCTGAGCTCAGCCCGGCGCTGCTGGACCGCAGCAAGCTCCACCCTGGGGCCTGCACGGGGATCGCAGCGTGTGTGTCCTCCGGCCCGCAGTCAGACTCGGTCCCTCCTCCTGCCTAAATTTGGGGAAGAGTCCAAGTCTGTAGCCCTGAAGGGCTGTGATCGCCGCGTCCATCCCTGCCCCCTCGCGCTGTGCTTGCCCGGCCTCCGGGGCGTGCTCGGCTTATGCCGCCTGGTCCTTTGGGTCACAGAGGCTCCCCTGCGAAAGCCAGCGAGGGGCCGCCGAGGAGTGACGGCCAGTCCATCAGCCTTCGTGCGCTCTTTAGCGATGAGAGGACGGTCGGGGAAAACACTTTTTGGGGCGCTGGTCTCCGATTCAGACGCCGCCAGCTGTTTCCAGGCAGCTCTTGTACTTCGGACTTCGTGAGCGGCTTCTGCTCGGTTTCTGCCCTTTACCGCGGGCGGCGTCCGGAGTCGGCGGGGAGGGCTCTCCCCCAGCGCCTCGCCCCCCGCCCCTCGCCCGCGACGGCCCTCTGCGCGAGCGGGGCTCTACGGACTGCTGCCGAAGCGGAATGTTCAGAAAGTTGAAAAACGTTTCTCTCGTACAAGTACAGAACGGGTGAACCTGTATCCGAGATGCATTTAACTGCCTGACGGAAGCGAGATGGAAGTTGGAAGAATGGGTTCCAAAAGCGTTTAGGAAAGAATGTTGGAATCATTGCTAGGTTAGATACAAAACTGCTTCCTGCCGTTCGCGGTGGCGCACGCCTGTAATCCCAGCACTCAGGAGGCTGAGGCAGGAGGGTCCTTGCGAGTTCGAGACTAGCCTGGGCTACAGAGTGAGCTCAAGGCCAGTCTGATCTGCAGAGTGAGACCCTGTCTCAAACAGACAAACAACCCAACAACCCAAAACTGGTTCCTGTCCTGCAGGATAATAAAACCAGGAACCTTTGGAATTATCTTTTTTTTTTTTTCTTTCGTTTTCTTTTCTTTTTTCTTTTCTTTTTTTTTTTTTTTTTTTTTTTTTTTTGCGATTCTGGGGCTT